GCTTGAACGCATCAGACGCATCAACTGCCTCAGGTCGAAAGAGAAGCAGTCAATGCGCTGAGTGGAGTGCTAAGAATTCAGTACGATTAGTACAATCTGGGGAATTCAAGTACTCTTGAAGCGCTTTCGAAGCACGCAATAGTTAACTCGGAACGACTTTCTATGCAGTCTACGCGCTTCATGCGTAACTCGGAACGCACCCAGTATGAGTGAAACGTGAGAGGGGATATTAGAAAGTTTTAATACGGCCTTGAATGCGGACAGAGAAGAAGGAGACGTTTCTTAACTTTTCATTACAATCACCACTTTTAGCTCCAGAACGGCTTGACCGATTTAAAATTTTTTTAGTTCAAATTTTACTTGTCGCCATGCCGCCTTTCAGGACATATAATGTTCGATTCAAAATTTTTTATACTTTAGTAGTTATGCACCCCCTAAAAATGGACTTTGGTGGCTCGAGATAAAAGACTTATAGTGTCTTTCAGTTTTTGAACATGGCCGGAGACACTACTGCGTCTCCTAAACTTATAAAATCAATGTTGCAACAACTTGTTCATTGTGACTGATTTTTTGAAAAAATAAGAATATTTTAGTACATCAAACGATTCGATTTCATTTTTACAATGTTTACAGTAAAACATTTTTTAATATTAATTGATTAATAACATAAAATAAATTTAATATCAAATTTTTTTATTATTTATACCAAACACATGAGAACTCTCATGTGTTTCACATGAAATTTCATCAGAAAGGCTCTAGCAGGTTAAGAAGGGGTCAATCGGCCCCCAAACGGATTATGACCAGCATGTCACCCAAAAGTTCGTTGACCCGAAAAAAAAATTTGGAGAAATTTTTAATTCCGAACACCACCCCTTTTCGGAGATATTGCCTTATGAAGTATTTTCATATTTTATTTTTGTCACGAGACCTATCAGATACAATTTTATTAAAAAAATTTGGGCATACAAAACGTATCAAAAGGTATTTGAAAATATTTTTTGCGAGATGTTCCAACCTAACCATAATTTTTAAAAAATTCCTGAAAATTTATAAGTGACCCCCTTTTGTTAGTTTATGATTGGCAACCTCGCAAAAATTCAAAAACATGTATTTTTAAACTTATTTTCACCCTGAATTTTTTCAGAATTTTTTGAACCCGGCATCATGCCTAAAAAAATTAAAACTCGCCTAAAAAGGCAAAAAATCGCCATAAAATATATATCAAGTAGCCATAAAGCCCTAAAAGGCTCATAAGATAGCCTGCAGACATAGGTAAGATAGCAAGATAACCCTAAGATAGTTCATCGCTCTGATTAAAACAATTATGCAATATTATGGAAGTCTTAAAACACTAAAACATCCATAATATCGCCTTAACCCTTTCAGTCACGCATTTTTCTATTCACTGAATTCGCTTGAAACTCGTTACTCAGGGGTTTTTGGGGTCGCTGATTACGAATCAGATATCATTTTTCAGGAATTCAAAATGGAGGATACAATATGACGGTCGACTTCTTAAAAAATGGATGAATTTGCTTGAAAGGAGTTACTCGGGGGTTCTCGGGGTCGCAAATTACGAATCTGATGTCAGTTTTTAAAAATTCAAAATGGCGGATCCAATATGGCCGACAACTTTCTAAAAAATGGATGAATTTGCTTGAAACGAGTTACTCGGGGGTTTTCGGGGTCGCAGATTACAAATCTGATGTCAGTTTTCACTCATATATAAGCGTCTTCCACTTATATTCAATCGTTTTGAATCCCAAAATCTATTTTCATTTTCGTATTCAGCAACCCTGCGAACCCCCGAGTAACTTTTTTCAAGCGAATTCAGTAGATTTTCAATTTTCATATCCGCCATATTGGATCCGCCATTTTAAATTTTTTGAAAACTGATATCAGATTCGTATTCAGCGACCCCAAAAACCCCTGAGTAGCGTTTTTCAAGCGAATTGTATGTGATTATTTTTCACAAACGATTTCTTTTTCAAAAAATGGCCATTTTTTGGTATATTATTGTTTATAATTAATGAACTATAGTATGTTAATATGTATGATGTCTTGTATTCGACAAATAAATGCCTCAGCTATGTAGAAAATTAATCACGACGTAAAAAACATGAGAAACTGATTTTTAAAGGTGAAAAAACCAACGGATAAAAGGTGGGACGCTGAGCGTCCCACCGTGACGCAAAGGGTTAAGACAATCGTAACACACTAATACAATTCTGAGACAGCCCTAAAATTCGATTAACATTACTATTCAGCATTAAAGCAGTCTTAAAACTCTAAAACATTTACAAAATATCCTTGGGGCATTCTTAAAATACTCAAAATGCCATAAAATGATCTTGAGAGAGTCGCAAAACTCTCAGACGGCATTGAAGTGTGGTTAGAATAGTTCTGCAATCTTAAGACACTAGAATACATCAGTAATAAGTATTTTCTACGAGTATCGGAGGACGACTGATGAATTTAAGGCAGAAAAAATATCGTACGACAATTTCATCCCATAACCGAATTTTTTTCTGAAAATTTTAGCCATATGCTTTTTTTCATATTGGAACTATTTTGAAATATTTAAAGGTTATAAATGCTTTTTGGAATTTCTTTATTTTGATCAACATAATATATTTATATATGTTCATGTATATATTATTAATCGTCGTCGCTATCCTCATTGATGACCGGTGCAATTTTCTGAGCATCGAATAATTTGGATAATAATTCAGCAGGCTTGATAATTTTCGCTAAATATCTAAACTAAACGAAACTAATGGCGAATTCTGCACGCTATCTTATGAGTGTTTTAGGGCTTTATGGCTACTTGATATATATTTTATGGCGATTTTTTGCCTTTTTAGGCGAGTTTTAATTTTTTTAGGCACGATGCCGGGTTCAAAAAATTCTGAAAAAATTCAGGGTGAAAATAAGTTTAAAAATACATATTTTTGAATTTTTGCGAGGTTGCCAATCATAAACTAACAAAAGGGGGTCACTTATAAATCTTCAGGAATTTTTTAAAAATTATGGTTAGGTTGGAACATCTCGTAAAAAATATTTTCAAATACCTTTTGATACGTTTTGTATGCCCAAATTTTTTAAATAAAATTGTATCTGATAGGTCTCGTGACAAAAATAAAATATGAAAATACTTTATAAGGCAATATCTCCGAAAAGGGGTGGTGTACGGAATTAAAAATTTCTCCAAATTTTTTTTTCGGGTCAACGAACTTTTTGGTGACATGCTGGTCATAATCCGTTTGGGGGCCGATTGACCCCTTCTTAACCTGCTAGAGCCTTTCTTGCAAAACGATTTTCTGATGCTCTGCAAATAATAAAAATCCAAAGCGAATATGCTTTTCTTGTTATTAAAGAAAAAATTGCATGTAATGCGATACTCTGGTTAATGAACCAATGGTCATAAAGTATTAGATAACAATTATGAACTATGATACTAAGTTTTATGTACTGATTCCAAATCCGCCATGTTTAACTTTATAATTCTATCTCTACGTTCGTAATCATACATAGTAATTATTTTCAAGCAGATTCGTCAAGTTTTCGCATTTAAATCGACGATGTTGTAAGAACATTCGTGACTTTTGAGCGAAGGGAATGTCACTCTTGAGTCAAAGCAAGTCATATAAACATTAGCAAACGATTGCAATCGATTTCAAGCGTTTTTCCCACGATTTCAAACGTTATAATGATGAAGCGCTAGACTATGACTCGCATCGACTCGCGTTGACTCTCATTCTTTATTTTCACTGGTTCTACTGATACATTATTTATACGATTTCATGTATGTCATTATAACTTGCATTTGATTCTATTTTGATTTCTAACGTTATTAACGTTAAAAACTGTTGACTCATGAGTGACATGCCTCTCGCTTTTGGGGATTTCAAACGCCATATTTGCATTTTGTGTGTGCGCGGCCATATCGAATTTTTCAAAAGGCCACGTTTCATTCGAAATTACACAAATATACGAATATTTTGAGACCTTAAATGTTTTTTGGTAAATCTTCGGAATAGGGGAAACAGCTCCGATCTTCTTGACCTTGACATATGTTGTCAAGGTCATGACCCTGAGTAACTTTGCCTTAACAACTAGCCGTCGCTCGCCTTTCGTTAAAAAGATATTAACAAAAAAAGTTTCAAAAATAACGTCCTATTTCTGCTATATATACAGTATTAAATACTATTCTACATAGGTTTTGACCTTCCACGCGAAGTAACTTTTACTCCCCCCTCCCTCCCCCTGCACAGGGGCACACGACTTCTACGATTGTACTGTTGCTATGATAGTACTGTCGGGGCAGACCTCTGACGACGGTGTGGGTGCAGGGGGGTGGCCGGAGGCCGCCCCCCTGCACCCGCCCGTGAGGCGGCCTTCGGCCTTCGGCCTCCGGCCACCCCCCCGCACCCACACCGTCGTCAGAGGTCTGCTCCGACAGTACTATCATAGCAACAGTACAATCGTAGAAGTCGTGTGCCCCTGGGATTTACGTGCTAATATTCCACGTTTTGGTACAAGAAAGTACAATTATGAACATTACATAGCTGAATTTTTGTTCAAAAGACTGTATACTTATGACAAACGTATTGAACGATTTTTTGAAATAATGAGTAATTTGTATCCGTTAGAATCGTAACATAATTCTCCATAGATATTCAACGTTTATTTAACATTATTGTCATTTAGTAATGTTTTTTTTATTATATACAGCAGTATAATGGTATGTTATTTTTTGAAACTTTTTTTGTTAATATCTTTTTAACGAAGGGCGAGCGACGGCTAGTTGTTAAGGCAAAGTTACTCAGGGTCATGACCTTGACAACATATGTCAAGGTCAAGAAGATCGGAGCTGTTTCCCCTATTCCGAAGATTTACCCGTTTTTTTTTCCGTTGCGTCAAATTTTGGAAGAAGTGGCCCGCTTGACACGAAACGTTCCATATACTGGTATAAGTATTGCGTTTTTTATACATTATTAAAACTTACAATATTTTTTATCAGGCGTATTCCAAGATATAAGATCTTCACTAAATATATCGATCGATTTGTTCCGATTCTGTCTTGAGGGAGTTTTGCTACGACGTTTTGAATATGGAGTCATAGGTAGCATTGTTTTATTTTCGGTACATGCCACACAAGTTTCTATATAACAAAATACGATTATATGTACACACATATTAAACACATATACCAAGTCGTACCTATAATATATATAAGTTTTACCATCGAACGCAACATTTCGAAGTGATCTTCTCTTAGTAGTATTGTCTGTCAATATTACATTTTCTATCTGTATTGTATCGTTTTTATTTGATGTCATATGTTCATTTTCGTTTCTTGGTAGTAATTTTAATGAACTTTTCTTCCTTAACTTCACAGGGCTCTCATTTTCATCCTTATTATTTGTCTTTTTCGGAGTCATCCAAAAAAAATTTTTTTTAATTAATTTCTCAATTAATTTGTATTTATTTAATTAATACGTACAGGGTGTATCAATAACTGTAACACTTGAAATATCTTCTAATCCATAAGGTGTAGAGAAAAATTTATGTAACAAAAATTACACGATGTAAAGGAAACTATCATATAATAATTTTTCTTTAGGGGGAGGCGCTTCGGAGATTTCAAGGTCAACTTCGTTTTTATAAATGGAATTATATGAATTTTTTTACACAATATGATTCCTCTAATTATTCTGCATAAAAAAAGTATTATGAACATGATATCAAAAAATCAATAGTTTACGAGATATCAAGTTTAAAATTATTTTATATCTAGATTTTGACATTCTTCATAAATGAAGATTAACTTGTGATTTTTTTCTTACAACGGATACATCGTGCTTCAACGAAAACAAACATTCTTCGAAGAGACGTCGCTTGAGCATGAAGCATTAGCGTTATATTCATTGTGTACACACTGAAAATGGCTCGAATGTTAGCCGAAACGTATGCGAATTTTTAATTGTTTTTTAAAATTACTAGATATTAATAATTTAAAAAAATATATTGTATGCACTGTACTTACCGCAATTTGACTCTCAGTAGCCCTTTATTCAATTATTTATTGACGTCTTAATTAGTTCACGAAATGAAATTAAACATAAAAAGTTTAGTATCAATACATCAGTTAATCGTGCAAGATGTAGTCATTTGAAGAACAAGTTGATATGATTCATTTATGAAGAATGTCAAAACAATTCAGTGCAAGCGAAAAATTTATACGCTGAACGATATTTTAATCGCACTCAAGTCTTCGCGTCGAATATTTAAATATATTTGCAATAAACTTAGACAAACTGGTAATATCTGGTACAAATACTCGTAAAAGTGAACGTGATAAGCGAATACCTCATGTAGCGAATAACTCAAAATGAAATTTAGGTTCTCGCAAAAATGACTCAAGATTTACATTAGTACGTCAATATCTTTCGACGTTATTAGAACAAGTCAATCAATAATCAGGAAAATCCAATGTTACATTGAAAATGGTGACCATCATTTCGAACAACTTTAAATTTAACTAAATTATTTAATATTCGAATTATTAAATTTTTAATAAAATGTATTATATATTGTATTTAATATTCTTCAATATTAAATGTTATTAATTAAAAGTATTTTATTTTCATTGAAGCACGATGTATCCGTTTTATTTAACGTAAAATTTTACCAAGACACTACCGTATCTCCAGATGTTAAAATAAGGTGTAAAATATCTCATAAACTATTGATTTTTCAGTACCATGATCTTAATACTTTATATAGAATAATTAGAGGAATTATAATGTGTAAAAAAAATTCATATAATTACATTTAAATAAACGAAGTAGACCTTGAAATCTCTGAAGCGCCTCCACCTGGACAAAAATTATCACCATATGATAGCTCCCTTTACATCGTGTAATTTTTGTTACATAAATTTTTCTCTATACCTTATGCCCGTGACACACTACGGATTGTGGACGCGGATCGGATTGGGATTGCGGATCACGGATCGGAATTCAGCCAATCAAGACAAGGCAGTTTCGGATCCGGATTGTAGATTGCAGAATAGACGGCTCTCTACTTTTGTGATCCGTAATCGTGATCCAAGCCAATAAAATATCGAGTTTGGTCACGTGACCCATTTATGATGGATGAATAAGCATCGACGTCGACGGCGTCTAACCTAGGTCCTTTCGAAACGTGTTTATAGAGAATTAAAAATCGGGACGTCCCACAAAATTCGAAATAGTTAGCCACCCTATACACAGTAAACGTCGACGACACTATATTGAGGACACGATATTTGCGATACAGCATATGTTACAAATTGAATCCGTAGTCCGTAGTGTGAACGAAGAATCCAAATCCGACGATCCGCAATCCCAATCCAATCCTCATCCACAATCCGTAGTGTGACACGGGCATTAAGCCTATTCTACAATTGCGTAAGCGTAGTTGTAACTGGTTGTAGTTGTAAGAATTAACCAATCACAATCAAATATGAGGAAAATATTCGACTGTGATTGGTTAATTCTTACAACTACAACCAGTTACAACTACGCTTACGCAATTGTAGAATGGGCTTTTATGGATTCGAAGATATTTGAGGTAATAGTTATTAGGACATCCTGTGTATGTGTGTGCGTGTGTGCGTGTGTGTGTGTGCGTGCGTGTGTGCGTGCGTGTGTGCGTGCGTGCGTGCATGCGTGCATGTGGTGTGTGTACTTGACATATAATTGTATAAATATATATACACAATTTTTTAATTCATTTATAATGTATTATACGGGTTCCCAGAAAGCTCGAAGGTCCTTCCTCCGGCAGATTCTATAGAACATTCTAAGACAAAAACCATCTATACAAAAATGTCTAGGCTACAATAGTTTTCAAATTATAAACGGTTAAAGTTGGCCAATTGTAGAGTCTGGAAATCGCGCGCTCAGGGGCGAACATCGCGTGGGGCCCTTGTACATTGACTCGCTTGTTAAATGTTGATACAATTGAGACAATTGTTGCAAAATGTGTAACCGTCGAAATTCGGTTTTTTATTGTAAAGCACATTAATAGTTTTATCAGATAATAACGCTTCATAATAGGAAACCGAATTTTAGCAGTTAGGCACTTTCCCGGTAAGCGCTTTAATTTTACATACAATGGTAAAGAGATTTTACTTTTAAGATTCGTATATAATTGTATAACTGAAATTATACATAGAATTTCAGTCTTTTATTACAGAATTTCAATCATTACATCGAACTGTCAAAGTTGTTAAATAAGTTATGTCAAATAGTAAATTAATTTATCATATTTCTTTAATAAACTGGAAGAAATTAAATTACTAAAAAACTATAATGATAATGTTTTACTACAAATAGTTTTTTATTTTATTTATTCATTTTTATTTATTTATTTATTTGTAGGAAAACTCTATTTGTAGTAAAATATTATCATTATAGTTTTTTAGTCATTTAATTTCTTCCAGTTTATTAAAGAAATATGATAAATTAATTTACTATTTGACATAACTTATTTAACAACTTTGACAGTTCGATATGATTGAAATTCTGTAATAAAAGACTGAATTCTATGTATAATTTCAATTATACAATTATATACGAATCTTAAAAGTAAAATCTCTTTACCATTGTATGTAAAATTAAAGCGCTTACCGCAAAAGTGCCTAACTGCTAAAATTCGGTTTCCTATTATGAAGCGTTGTTATCTGATAAAACTATTAATGTGCTTTACAATAAAAAACCGAATATCGACGGTTACACATTTTGCAACAATTGTCTCAGTTGTATCAACATTTAACAAGCGAGTCAATGTACAAGGGCCCCACGCGATGTTCGCTCCTGAGCGCGCGATTTTCAGACTCTACAATTGGCCAACTTTAAACGTTTATAATTTGAAAACTATTGTAGCCTGGACATTTTTGTATAGATGATTTTTGTCTTAGAATGTTCCATAGAATCTGCCGGAGAAAGGACCTTCGAGCTTTTTGGGACACCCTGTATACATGATATATGGTATATATTTTATATGTATATTTTATATATTATGTACATATATTATATATATATATATAATACATATACAAATAACATAAAAAAATTGTAAATTGTATTAAGAGCTCAAAAGAATTCTTGACTATGACTAATTCTTGCAAATATGTCTTATGGTTACTATTACGGAAGGTATGTACGGGCCCCCAATAACTGTAGGTCCCACATGCTTTATGGAAATTGAATAATCAGCACCACATTAGCAAGGATATGAGAGAAGAATAATATAGGCTAGAGGCCTAAGAGAAGGGAAAAAGAGAAAAACATTACACCCACGGCTTACCATTTTACTAGTTCTACTACTTCTAGGAGTATTATTTGCCAGGATAGTTCTATTTCTAAGGACTTTCATTTCTAAATTAAGATCTTCCATGTTTTTAGAAATTATTTCAGCAGTAATAGCTATTTTGCCCTCTCTACTATCAGAATCTTCAATTTCAAAGTCTAATCTTTTTTCAGCATTAATGGGTGACGATATTAAAGGATTTATTTTATCTAAATCGTCGAAAATGTCGATTCTATTTAATGCAGCAGCTAAATTTAATTTAGTCTGCATTTCTTTATAAAGAGGGACTTCATTAAGAATTACTTGATCATCAAAATTGACTTTATGTGCAGACTTTATGCGAGCTTCCTTATTTTCTAATTCTTCTGATTTCTTTAATATACTTTTGCCCGGCGTTTGATCAGAATTAATATACGATATTGTGTCATCTAATTGTATTTCGGGTGTCTTACACATTTGACTTATTTTGATAGTTGCAAATGGACTTTTCATTCTTTTAGTTTTGTCAGAATACTGCACTTTCTGTACTAAATTTATTTTAGAGCTTTCGCGTTGAACAAGAGTTGATTTTCTCTCGTTAAGATCATAGGATTTAGATCTTATGCTATGTCTAGTATTGGTATTTTCACGTGTATCTTGCGGCAAAATAATTTTTTTACTTAATGTTCCTGCTTTCATTTTGTTTTTTCTGGCAGCTAGTATTAACGATCGTAATGAACTTGGTTTTGATGATACAGTTTGTTTTTTAATAGGCATTCGTTTTTTAACAGTAGGTTTGATAACTGTAGTATATTCTTCTTCCTGCCATTCTCTGTTTTGACGTTGCTCTAACTTCTCAAATCGCATATCACAATCTTTGACTTCCATATATGTCATATCCCAAAATCCTTGCAAATCTCTGCATGTAACCAGCATTTCTCCTCTACCAGTTTCGCAATCTTGTACTAAGCCACGAAATCTTTCGAATTTTTTATTTATTAATAAATTTGTTTGTCCCACCGCTTGTTGTATTTCATACATAGCGTCCTCTGGAACATCCTTCGTTATTCTTATATTTAACCATTTCTTACAAAGTTCCGTAAGTCTATTCGTTTCTTTATTCACAAGAAGCTTGAAATACTGAGCAGTACGTTTCTCCTCTTCCACGCATATGTTTAAATTTTTCATAACAGTTTCTTTGGTTGGAATTTCATCAGATGGACGACTAATACCTAATCGTTGCTGTCCCTCTTTTCTAGAATTTCTCTTGCCACGACTTCGTGTGAGATATGGCGAAAAGCTAATGAGATCTTCCATATTACAATTTTCTTTCTCAAACAGTGTTGGAGAATTTTTTGGTGGCGTTTTTATATTAGTACTGTTTAATAAAAAATTTTCTTCGTGTAAGAAATCTTGTGCATTTGTTTGCTTCCTTGCCTGTTCCTTTAATGACATTCCTGTTGTTTCAATTACATTTAATTCGTCTGAATCTCGAATAATCGAGTCACTTAATTTCCGTGATTTTTGTTTATTTAATGATAATTTTGGATGTGTAGGTTTGAAAATCTCTGTAATATCAGAAGTTTGTATATGTAATAATGGATATTTCCCTTGTGTCGTTTCTTTCATTGGTACAAGATCAAATAGAGACATCTTCTGTAAACCAGATGGAGATTTAAAACAATAATTAGCAGAAGCAAATGATTTCTTGGTATACGAAGTTAAGGTTTTAAAAGAATTTTTTATTCCTGATACTGAAGTTGGATCCTTTACCGTTTGCTGAGCAGCTCTGGCAAGTAATCGTTTTTCTGTAGCTCTTGTAATTCGTTTCTTCAGATTGTTTGAATTTTCTGTTGGTTTGTTTGATGTTTCTGCAGTTGTTACGCCACTCTTAATCATCGAAGAACATAAAGGATGATGAACAATACCAACTTTGAAAACTGGTTTTTTCATTGCAGCTTCTAGATTCTTCTTTCTGTTGCGTTCCTCTTTCCATTTTATTAATTTTTTCATGCGTTCATCAGTAATGGTAGATGTGACTATTAAAAATAATAGAAATTTTTTTGTTTGTAATTGCTTAAAAAAAATTTTATAGTATAAATACACAAAAATTGAGAAAGAAGCAATTTGAATATAGATATGCATTTAAAAAATAAATATATATTTATATGTAAATTATAATATATATATAATAATCTTTATATATTATTCTTACATTTCTTTTTATGTATGTATTTTTTATAATATGTACACTAGGGTGGTTCTTATTTATACTACATCGAAATTTTTTTAAAATTTTTTTTGTCTCACCCCATAAAATGGTTCCATTTTATGAAAAAATAATTTCTGTAAAATTTTAGATTAATTGGATTACGGGAAAGGGTGCCGAAAGGCATCTAAAATCTTAAAATAGAATATAATAGTATATTTTACATTTACATTAATATTAATTATAAATATATAAATAATATTTATACTAACTTACCCGCTCTGAGTCCTCCCCCCCAAATTACGCGCCGAACTACAATCGGTCTTAAAACGCAACTCTAATAATTTGAAAATAACGTCCCCTTAATTATTTTTCCCACGCATTGTTAGACCAGCGTACAACTTACACCGGCGTCTAAGGTAGGCTTCCACTACGTTACCTTACAGGTGAGTCCAGTAGTGGAATCCGGGACGAAACGCCAACTTGTGATATTCTTTGCAATATACTAAATTAATTTTTAAGAATTCGGTTGCGGCTGTTGAGGACTCTGTGAAGTCGAAACTTTCCGTATATACCGGTGTTATTATTATAATAAATTTATATATATTTCTAACAACTAGTATAGCTCAATTGTTCTTGACCTGGGAGGTATATTAAGTTTAATTTGAAAATTTATTTGATACTAAAATATTGATCTTTTATTGACATATTTAATGTATTATCCAAATAATTGGACATGCACAAAGTATTGTAATATTTACAATATTTATTCCAATTAGGTCGCCTCTCATAATATGTATTATTATAAACAATAATAAGAAGAAAGGAAGCAACGAAGTAAAGCCATTAACGGTCAAAGCTAGATGACAATGCTTATTATAATGTGTAAATTTATATACCGCGTATGTAGTTCACTCAATCGCGTGCCGAAAATTTTTTCAGACTTATAACGCAACCCTAAATGACTACCGCGGTAATATCACTTTAGTTAAATTGACAAGCAATCTAACAATTTTAGATGCTTATAGCATCTTATTGGATCTTAATAATATGTTGAAAGACATATATTAAAATTTTAACGATGTAATATTAAAGCAATGATAAATCTATCTGTGAAAAATAAGATTGCGAAGAATATCACAAGTTGGCGTTTCGTCCCGGCTTCCACTACTGGACTCATCAATAAGGTAATGTAGTGGGAGTCTACTTTAGACGCCTATGTAAGTTGTTAATCGAGATTCTATATAAATAGATATACGCGTATTTCAGGACTTACGAGAAACTTTGCGAATATCCATAGACCTCTGATGGCGAGTCGACGTAATAATATTCTTCCTTATATACCTTTTAAATTTTATTTTTTCAACTATTCATAATAGAATCAAGTTTCATATTAATAACCATAGAACGTCTAACAATAATAATAAGTCTAATAAATTTTTTGCAATTCCTTATGTAGATTCAGTATCACAAAAATTCACACCTATAGCTAACGTCTATAATAGTAAATTAGCCTTTACTATTCGTAATACCTTAAAAAATTACATAAAAAGAGGAAAAGATCAATTAGAATATTTACAAAATCAAAATGTGGTGTATAAAATATCGTGTAACGATTGTGATATAAGTTATGTTGGTCAAACAAAGAGACAACTAAAGACCAGATTAAATGAACATATCACAGATATAAATAAAAAATAAAAATCTCCATCTGTAATTACGAGCCACCGTACAGAAAAAAATCATAAATTTAATTGGGATAAAGTGGATATTCTAGACATTGAACCTTCTTATAGTAAAAGGCTAATTTCTGAAATGGTACATATTAAAAAACAAAAGAATGGGATTAACAAACAAAATGACACGGAATCTTTGTCGGAAATATATTCCAATATTATACTTTCCCTTTCTCCTTCCTAATACACGCTATCCTTGTCCCTGTTCTTTCGATTATCTGTCTTAAGTATATGTGTTTGTATATGTTCCTTTCCTGACATTATACATAGAATTGGAAGTCGCCGGAATCATTTACGATAAGTGGCAGATTTGCTCATTTTAGTAATATTAAATATGAACTGGAATCACGCCTTCTCGATTTTTACGTTTAAGGTACAAATTATATACTTTTTATTTTACATTCAGATCAGAATTCATTTTCATTTTATTCGAATTGTTAATGACTCTTTACAGTATATTGCTATCTATTGTTCTCTTATATGGAGTTTGAATGTTTACTAATTTGACTATTAAATAAGAACTTCCAAATTTATTTGACTATTCCAATACATTCAACTACAATATTTAATTAAATGAAGACTGCGTTAATTAATAATAAATTTTATTCTGTAGACATATGTTTTTTAAAATATTTTTGTGAACATTGATAATGACCCGATCGGTGTCGAAACGTCTGTTGATAACAGTTTTTATTATTTTGTAATGTTTATTAATTTAAATGAAAGTGTTATTGTTTTAAATGTCAACATTTGGCTCTTGGCCCTTCATTTATTTTTTATGTTTTATACTTAAAGAGCCTTAGATTATATTAACAATATAATATTATTTTATGAATCCATTAATATTATACAATTCAATTTTAATTAAAATTGTAATATATATTTAAAATATTAATATATTTTTTTCTAGAACATTTTATGATCTTTATTTTAAAGTATTGAGTATCCATTAATATTATAGAATTCAATTTTAATTAAAATTTTAATTAAAATACTTAAAACTTTAAAATACTCAATACTCAGTACTTTAAAATAAAGATCACAAAATGTTCTAGAAAAAAATTTATTAATTGTATATAAAGAAATATGATCAATGTATAATATTTCATTCACCAAGATCCATTTGCACAAAAAAAATAAATATGTATTTTATCACAATTAAGAGGAGAGACTTAAAACAGATATTTATTGACAATAAAACATAGATATTAAAAATATATAAATAAAAAACTAAAAGATTAAGTAACAATACAAATAACAAATAAAAGATTAGGAGCTAAACTGGATGTTTAGCTCTGGATTAGTAACTAGATTAAAATTTTGAATGATATATATATATATAACCAAATAAAACACATGTTTTAATATCTATTAGGTTCATTATCAATATTAGATAACAAAATAATAACAAAAAAATTACTCTGATGTACAAAATTATATTTACATATCTGATAAGTTATAAATACAAAATTAATTTAATAACACTTGATTAGATATGTATAATTTATAGCTGTACAAAATTGTTTCGTTAACATTAATAATGATCTAAATAAAAATCAAAATATCTGTTAAGTTAAAATTTTAAGATAAAGGACAAATATCCAGCTTAGTTCCTCTAGACTTTAATTTTTAATTTTAATATAATTGATACCCTTTTCTACTAATACAGATTAAAAAAGGATAAGGAATAAATTTCACCAATATAAGATTAACTTGTTCATCTTTCTCTAATTTTCAGAATTAGAGAAAGCTTTGGTGATTTTTAATGATCGTCATGTGTAAGTCACTTTAAACAAAAATTCTTCTTTACCTTTTATCTTTATTTTTCCGCGCTGTGGGCTCGTTGGTGTCAAATCATTTCGCAAATTGCGATTTCTGTTAAAAGTTCGTGTTCTGGCCTCCTTGCGAGATTTATTGTAGTTGCAAGTACGGAGATATCTGCTGTGATCCGTGTCGCCAAATCCTGAACGTGGAGCTTTATACTGTTCTTTAAGATCCGGCATCTCGTACAATCTCGTAGCAACGATTCAGCGTTCGTCGAATACATGTAACCGTTTATAATCGTTTAGATGTTCAATACCAGCATAACTGAAAATCACTTTGAATTGATGGCCAGGATGGCCAGGGCGCTGAACGCAATCAAACTTTAAATTCAACTGGAATAATGGCGTGCAACGGCTCCTACTGGTTCTCCTTCTCATCAGACGTCTTGAAATGACAACGCCAGTCATACCAACAGATGATTATGACCTAGTTTCCACCGAAACCCTCAATTCGGTTCCACTCAAGGCTATGTTCAGATTCCCACCCGAGTGCCACTCAGGTATCCTCTTAGAACATATAGAGCCGATTGTTCCATCTTTCGGTAAAATTTACCTGTTAGGTAAATCTGGCAATCCGCGCATGTGATTGGGCAGTCTTGCTACTTACTTAACAGGTAAACGTTACCAAAAGATGGAACAATCGGCCCATAGTACTGGAAGGAGCATAGACATATGGTCCCTGTATGTACATTCGGTTGAAGCCGAGAAGATTGACAAGGATGGAGAGATTAAGATCGTAGATTGTAATGCGCATACTCCATACGCGTGCGCGGTGGATTATCCACCGTGGATGCTAGAAAGCACGTTAATTATTTGCGAACTGTGTTTGGTTCTGTTTGGTTCTATGAGTAAAAATTATAAGTGATTTGTGGCAATGTATTGCTATATTTGCAAAGAAGAAAATCAGGCGTCTTCATATTACTTGTAAGTTTAATTATTTGTGAGTATAGTATTAATATACGGAATTCATAATATTAGTTTTGAGGTTAGTTTTCGTAATTACTCTTTAATATCTAAAAATTCGAATCCATTATACGAATAAACAAATTTGTGAAAAAGATAATTATATCAGGCACAAATATACAAAACTTATATTGTTCAATAA